CCCCTTCCTCCCTCTCTTCCCTGCTCCTCCCTCCTCCTATTCCTTCTCTCCGTCCACTCTGCCAGCGAGGGCACGTCCAGGAGATGGGAAGCACGCCATAACTTGAACAGGGAAAATTTAACGGAAAGAATCACTAACTCTAGCAAGGGCTTGAAATCACCGGGGATTGACTACTAAGAAGTACAGACAATGCCAGAGAATATAGGATTTGCAGATATGTTGGGCAGCCAGTACCCCTAGGGCTGAGATGGGTGTCCAAGGGAGAGACTCCCCCCTCCCCAGGTCTGAGATCCAGCTCTCCTTGGAGATGGCCTGGTCATGGCTCACTTCTCACGTGGAGAAGTTGCTGAGAGGCGATGGTGGTGGAACTTGCTGGAAATCCACCGTCTGGGGTACAGGGGAAGTTGTTCACGGGGAGGTTGCTTTGAAGCATCCTCAGGAAGTTTTTGGCTGCTGGACACATCCAGTTGGTCACGCTCTGCAGGAGCTCATCCCCGGGGAAACTTCACTGCAGGGGATGGGTGCTCTTCTTCTATTGGTCTATTTATCTATTCCTGCCCTAGTACCATACTGTTAACCTACAATTACTTACTGTTTTGTGAAGACAAATCCTCTTACCTAGTGATTTTCAACAGCGTCTTCGAGAAAAAAAGTTTAGTGTCTTCCAGTGTTTGGCCATCCTTTGTCTTACTGGCCTGGATTTTCAGTAGAAAGTTGACTGGAAATGGTGATAGCAGATATTTCTGTCTCCTTCCCTTTCAGAAGGAACTCTCTCTCCAGTTGGCTATTCATTATAATGTGTGCTGTAGATTTTTTGTTAGATACCCATTTTTAGGTTAAAGGAGCCCTCTTGTAGTCTTTGGTGGCTGGGAGTTTTGTTTTGTTTTGTTTGTTGTTTGGAACTATGAGTGGGTGTTGGAAGTTCATCACGTACATTCCCTGCTGTACTGGAGGTGATCATACAGCAGAGCTCTGCCCTTTGTAGGTTAACATGATCAGGTACAGATTCTGACTCTGTAACATTAAAGCAGCTTTGCAGCGCAGGTGTAGCTCGGCTTCATCGTGCTGCATGTGACTGGATTCAGTGTGAAATACATTTTTAGTATTTTTTACATTCTGTTCGCGTCCTTTTTCCTGCTGTGCTTGTTCTGACTCAGGTATCACAGTTATGCGAGCCTCACCAAGTCGGTTAGGGTCTACTCTCTCTTCTGTTCTTTGGAAGAGTTGTGTAAAATGGAATGATTTCTTCCTTGAATGTGAATGGGCAATAAAGCTGCCTGGGTCTAGGATCCTTTTTTTTTTTTTTTTTTTGTGGGAAAATTTTTGACTGCTGGTTCGATGACCTTAATGGGTACGACTGCAGGCGCTCCCTGAATGTTTTACAGAGGCGGTTTTTGGGAGCTGTGTTCTGGGGTTTTGTTCATTTAATTTAAATTTTTAAACAGTGTGGCCTAAAGGTATTTGCAGTATTTTCTGACTTTCTTTTTTGATGTCTGCAAGATCCATGGCCATGTCCTCTTTGTCATTTCTGAAAATTTAATGTCTTTGTTCTTCGTGCCTTTTCTCCTTTTTGATCAGTTTTCCCAAAGGTTAATTAGTACTGAGCTTTTTGAGGAGTCACATTTCGGATCTCCGTATTCTCTTTTTATGACTGCTTTCAATTTTATTAACTTCTTGCTCTTAATCTTTTTTTCTTCCTTCACTGTTTTGGGTTGTTTTATTATTATTTTTGTAATTTCTTGAAGCAAATGCTTATAGCTCATTTATTTTCTTTATTCTTCTTTCCCAAAGTATGTGTTTTAAAGCTATGAATATTCCTCTGTGTACAGTGTTAGCTGCATCTAGAAGCTTTGGTTTCTGGTCTCTTTGTTGACATTTGGTTTGAAATATTGTATTTCCATTGTGATTTCTTTTCTGTCCCCATAGGTTATTTAGGATCTGTCTTCTAATTTTAAACATGTGGGGATTTTCTAATCATTTTTGGGACTTATTTCCTCCAAGTAATTGTATATAAACATAATTGTGATATAGTAAGTGAGCATTATCTGTATATCAGTTTTTAAAAATGTGTTGAGGGACTCCTGGGTGGCTCAGTCGGTTAAGCATCTGCCTTCGGCTCAGGTCATGATCCCAGCGTGCTGGGATCAAGTTCCGCATCGGGCTCCTTGCTCAGTGGGAAGCCTGCTTCTCCCTCTACCTGCCACTCCCCCGCTTGTGCTCTCTCTCTCTGACAAATAAATGAAATCTTTAAAAATAAATAAATAAATAAAAACGTGTTGAGAGTTGTCTTTTGCTCCATTATATGGTGAAGTATTGTTTTATGATATGCCTTACGTCCTTGGAAAGACTGCATATTCTGCAGTTGAAAAAAATTTTTCCTTTTTTACTAATCAACTTCATGTATAACCCAGTGGGTATTCTGCTAAGCATGAGATTACCACATTGGGTTGATACAATCACAGAAATAAATCCAGAATTATGATACTTTATGACTGTGTGACTTCGGTCAGGTTCCTTATAACCTCTGTGGGTCTTGGTCTCCTGAGCTCTCTAATGAGGATGAAAGTACCTGTCTCAATAGTAGGATTCTCAATAAGGATTTATACAGTAAGCACTCAGGGTGTCTATTTAGAGTCTCTGACAACAGGAACAAACACGAGTTTTCATGTAACATTTGGAAACTGGACTTTTTAAACCAGCATTTGTCAAGGCCATATTATGTGCTAGTGAAGAGGGGTGGCCGTCTGAACCTTTTCTGTGTTCCCTGCTGAGCGCTCAGCAGTGTTAGTGGGTTCCCATGTCATCCTTACGACAGCTCTACAAAACAGGTACTGTCACATGTTATGGTGAAGAACTTGGATCTCACAAAGGTCAGATAGCTCACACAGGCTCACATTAAGGTAGGACTTGCATGTAGGTCTGTTTTTCTGGTCACCAAACCGTTCTATTGTGCTGTTACTCTCTTTCCTTTAAATAGACTATTTTTCAGAGCAGTTTTAGGTTCACAGCAAAAATGAGAAGGTGTGGAGACTTCTCGTGCTGCCCCCACCCCTGCACAGCTTCCCCCCGCCGTCAACATCTGGCACCGAAGGGACAGCTGACCCTGAACAATAGGTTTGAACTGCTCAGCTCCACGTATATGCAGATTTGTTAAAGAGCAGGACTGTAAATTTGTTTTCTCCTTCTTAGGATTTTCTTCTCTCTAGCTTGCTTTATTGTAAGAATACAGTATATAACATATGTAGTATACAGAATATGTGTTAACTACTTAGATTATCAGTAAATTTTCTGATCAACAGTAGATTATTTGTAGTTAAGTTTTGGGAGAGTCGGGAGTCATGTGGATTTTTGACTGTGTGGGGATCAGTACCCCTAACCACCTGTTACACGTTTGTTACATTGTTATTACCCAAAGCCCATAGTTTACATTATAGTTCATTCTTGGTGTTTTACATTTTATGGGTTTGGACAAAACTATGTGCAGTGACATGTATTTACCATCATAGTGTCACACAGAGTAGTTTCACTGCTTTCAAGTCCTCTGTGCTCTGCCTATTCACTGTCCCTGCCCTCACCCCAGGCAACCATGGATCTTTCTAGCGTCTCCATAGTTTTGCATTCTCCAGAACGTCATAGTTGGAATCATACAGCATGTGGCCTTTTCATTGACTTCTTTCACTTGGTAATGTGCGTGTAAGTTTCTTCCATGTCTGTTCATAGTTTGATAATTCATTTCTTTTTAGTGCTGAATAATATTTCATTGTCTGCTGTGACCACAGTGTGTTTATTCACCTACGGAAGGACGTCTTAGTTGTAAACATTAACGTGCAGGATTTTGTGTGGACATAAGTTTTCAGTTACTTTGGGTAAATACCAAGGATTGTGATTATTGGATTATACATTAAGAGTATGTTTAGTTTTGTAAGAAACCACTGGACTGAACTCTCTTCCACAGCGGCTGTGCCCTTCTGCGTCCCCACCAGCTGTGGATGAGCGTTCCTGTTGCTCCATATCCATGCCAGCACTGGGTGTTGTCAGCATTCTGGGTTTTGTCCAATATTCTGCAGTTTTATTTGGTGAAATAGTCTAAATCTGTCAACTAGGTTGTTATTAAATGCTATTAAAATCTTTTAAATATACTAATTTTTTGTCTGCTTATTTATTAAGTTACCCAGAAAGATGTATAACTTACTGCCAAATTTAATTGTGGATTTTTCTCTTCCGTGCTTTGTCAGTTTTTCTTTTGTGTGTGTGTGTGTGTGTGTGTGTGTGTGTGTGTGTGTGTGTGTATGAGGCCATATTATTAGGTGATTGTAATTTAAAATTGTTAATATCTTTCTGATTAATTAAGTCATTCTGAAATGGCCTTTTTTTTTTTTTTAAGTTTATTTTTTTTAGTAATCTCCACACCCAACGTGGAGCTTGAACTCACAACCTTGAGATCAAGAGTCGCATGATCCACTGACTGAGCTGGCCAGGCACCCCTGAAATGACTTAATAATAATCTCCAATAATGCTTTTTGCCTTAATGTTTATTACGTCTCATTTTAAGTGGTGTATGACTTCCTTTATAGGCTGGTATTTGCCTAATATATCTTTTTGCTATTCTTTAACTTTCAATATTTCTATAGTTTTATGCTTTAGATGTTTGTTTTCAATAGTAGTAAGTTAGATTTTATAAAATCCAGTCTAAGAGTAGCTCTCTTGATTGGAATACATAATCCAGGGATATTTAATGTAAATTAGAGGTATATTTATGTGTCCATTTACGGTCTTTTAAAGAAGTTAATTAATTTTGTCTCTAGTACATTGTTTTAGTAAGGCATTTTAATATTAATGTCATGTCCGAAGTTTCATTGCAGTGAGAGACTTACATAAGTAAAGAAGCTAACAGAAACTTCCTGTTTAATAATGTCGAATGTTTTTTTTTATTAAGATATGTTCATTCAGTATGTCAAAAATTTTTAAATTATATCTTTTTACTTTTTATAAATCCTCAGCTTTTCGCTGTGGCCTGCAGTTTCTAGGCAACATTGCCTCGCGGAATGAAGATTCCCAGTCTATTGTTTGGGTGCATGCTTTCCCAGAACTCTTTTTGTGAGTATATTGATAAAAGGGTTTCTGACTTCTAAAAAGACTGGTTATATCATTCCATTTACATCAAGTTCAAAAACAGGAAAAACTAACATTTGATGATAGAATTCAGGATAATTCCAGGTGATTGTTGGTGGGTGGTGGTGGGTTCGGTACGAGCTGGGAGAGGTCATGAAGGAATCTCCTGGGGTTCTAGGAATGTTCTGTGTCTTGATCTGGCTGGTAGTTATGGAGGTGTATCCATATCTAATAATTTATTGGGCTGTACACTTAAGTTTTATGCCCTTTATTGTATGTCAGTTGTATTTTAAGAAAATAAAAGTTTTGATTAAGAAATACTAAGTTTACTATAATTGATAAGAAAACAAATTTATAATAAAAAAGCCATAAACCGCTGAAGTATGGGCAATGAACTAGTCATTTATTTATTTACTGAGCACTTCTTTATTTTATTAGGGGGGAGGGGTTAGGGGAGAGGGAGAAAAAATGGGGTGGAGGGTAAGAGGGGAGGGAGAGAGAGAATCTCAAGCAGGCTTCATGCCCAGCTTGGAGCTCAACATGGAGCTTGACCTCATGACCCTGAGATCATGACCTCAGCTGAAATCAAGAGTCAGGTGCTTAACTGACTATGTCACCCAGGCGTCCCTGTTGAGCACTTCTCATATGCCTGGCACAAGGCTGTAGGTTTTGGTAGATCTGGAGAGCTGTAAGATGTGGATAACCAATCTGTCCAGAGTGGTTCATGGTGCTTTTCCTGGTGATTTACTATTTTGTTTTGATCAGCTTTGTTGGTTCGTAAGAAGTTGAGCATGGAGATAAAAGGTGAGCAGGTAGCAGAGGAAGGATAAGTAATAGGAGAGTCACTGTCTGAGAGTGGGAGGCCTGGCTTCTCATCCAGGCTCTGTTGCCAACGAGTGGGGTGTCTTTGGTTGTGGCAACAGTGTAAGCAGTAGAGTAGGAGTTGTCGTTCCTGTGCCCTGGGCTGGGTGTTCTCTGTGCGTTATCCCTGTCCTGGTCAGCAGCCCTACAGGGCAGGTGGTGCTGTCCCCTTTGGGACAGGCTGGGGAACTGAGGTTGCTGGTAAATGGCATAGCTGCTCTCTGGATCCAAAGGCTGCACCTGCTCAGATAGCAGCTGCTGAAAGTCTCTGCTGCCTTCCCTGGTGGTAGGGTGTTCTGGGCTGTGCATAAAGGGTGATGTTCGGATCAGATGAACTCGATATAAACAGATACGGTTCACTGAGTCTGCAACTGGCTCTCAAATTCCTGCAAATAATTAAGAGTTAGAGGCATAAAATCTTTATGATTAATGATAATTAAGCTTAGGGGGGAGGAAAGAATTGTGGAATTCAAGCAACAGGCATAGAAATTACTTATTCTTGAGAATTCATTCTTTTAAAACACTTTGAATACCTAATATCTGTGAGGTTCTGAGCTAGGTAAGTGGAATATGGGTAATTTAGATATGTTTATTACTTCCCCAAAGCCCATCTTCAGTGGGGGAAATAAAGGAATAGGTGAGCACACCGTAGCGTGAGAACGGACATAGTGAGAGTCAATCCAGACATCACAGAAACACAGAGGAGAGGCCCTTCAGCAGGGTGGTCAGAGAAGTCATGACAGTTTACATGGTGGTTTTACTGATGGTGTCAAATCCGATCCTCACTGAAGCCCCATGAGATAGGCCAAGGAGGTCGTTGTATTCCATTTTTATATCAGAAAACACACTTGAAAGAGGTTATTTGACTTCACTCTGCATGTATCTGTGAGACAAATATAACCAAATTTGAATTCCAGCTTTGGGAGGCACTGGCTTTGTGCCCTCAGGCAAGTAAAGTCAACACAGTCTTTGTCTGTAATATAAGGATAATATTTCCTCCAGAAGAGTATTATGACGTTTAACTGAAAAAACAAGTTCTGCCATAGTGCACGACCCATAATATTATTGACAGTTGATAAATCAGTGACCTTCCTGAGATCACACAGCTGATGGGTGGTGAAGCAGGACTCCCACTGGGGCTCTTGCCTCCCCATTCTCTCTCTTTCTTGCCAGGATACCATCTTTCCTCTAAACATTCTGTCCCTCATAACTAGTGAAGGAATGCCTGTCGTTAATGATGTACCATGTTTTGCCTTTGTTTTTTTTTTTTTTTTCTAACAGGAGTTAACATTTTAGTGTTTTATAAATGTAATCATTTTATCTTTTTCTTTAATCAGACGGCATTTGCTTTTGAGTCGTAAGTCAGCTGCATCTTTAATATTGGATGCTTTGTGTTGTGACTCATTTTATATTGCTATTTTTACAGTAAATAGTACACTTGTTTCAAAGTGTTGTACTTCATTAAATCCTTAAAAACATCAGTAGGCACTGAATTTGTTCATGGGATGATTATTATATATGAATCATAATCATATTTTATCGTATTGCTGAATGGGGTTCACACTCTCCTTTCTTTATTTGGAAGGTCTTGCTTAAATCATCCAGACAAAAAAATTGTTGCCTACTCGTCAATGATTTTGTTCACATCCCTGAATTCTGAAAGAATGAAAGAACTGGAAGAAAACCTGAACATTGCTATCGACGTCATTGAAGCTCACCAGAAGCAGCCTGAATCAGAATGGCCGTAAGTATCTTGTTAGAAATTTGATTGCTTAAGAACATTCTAACAGATCACTTTCCTTGCAGAGTAAGAGTTTGAATTCTAATAATTGAACGATACAAGAAAAGTTTCTCTGCAGCACCTGGAGGCTTGGGAAAAGGAAAGTGAGGTGTTAGAATTTTTGTGTGGTGGCAAGGACTGGGACACAGCCTGAGAACACGCAGCCCTCTGGGGCATCCAGATCAGACTGCTGTGGTTGTACCAGGTAGTTCATTAAGGATTAGACGTTGATATGTGTCTCATGGGCTTCTGCTCAGTTGAGGTATTCACTGTCTTTCAGATTGTTATGTCTGTCCCCCACCTCCGTACATAATGCTTCATTTCTCTCTGCTTATTTTTAAGATTTTTCTTTGTCTTCTCAGAAGTTTAATTATGATGTCTTGGCGTGGATCTCTTTGGGTATATCCTCTCTGGGTTCTCTAGACTTCTTGAATCTGAAGGTTTATGTTGCCAAATTTGGGGAGTTTCCAGCCATTGTTTGTTTGAATACTTTTTCAGCCTCTCCTTCGGGGCCTCCGTGTCAGGCCATAGAAGGCCAAGGCTGAGGCTGACTGTAATCGGTAAAGACACAACAAGTCACTGTTAGATTTAGACAGTTCGTTACTTCAGTGGACGGGGAAAAGGAGAAGCCTTGATCCTCGTCCCACATGCTGACAAGGGGCTGGAAGACTGGGATGACCGTAGGGAGATGCCCCATTGCTTGAAGCGGTTTTACATTCTGAGGGGGTGGGCAGACAGCTCTGTATCTCATCAGAAGGACATCTCATCTGAGTGTCCCTGGCAGCCTCCCACGGGGCAGGAAGGAGACGCCTCAGAAACCTCGGGCCTCCCATCCTTGGATTCTGGGAGGATCACAGTCTGTTGTGCTTTTGTCTGCATGGCCTGTGTGCATGTGTGGGAGGCCACAGGGCCCTCAGAGCAGTCCCTGTACTCTGATGACACAGACCTTCGTCTTTTCTTGTTGCCCCACAGTTCCCTGAGGCTCCTCTGTTCAGGGTTTTGACTTTTTGTGTCTTTTAGTTTTGTTGTTTGCATTCTGTTTTCTCTTTTACGCCAGTACCTCACTATCTCGATGACTGTAGCTTTGTGTAAGTCTTAAATCAGAAACTAAGTCTTCCAACTTTGTCTTCTTTTTCAGGAGTTTTTTGGGCTCTTGTGGGTCCCTTGTGTTATATATTAATTTTAGGATCAGCTTTTCAGTTTGTTCAGAGGAGCAGCTAGAGTTTTGGAAGACAGTATGTGGATCCGTAGTTGAATTTGAGGAATATTGCCATTTTAACTAGATTAAGTTTTCCAGTCCATGTGTAGGGGTATCTTTCCATTTATTTAGGCCTTACTCACTTCTTTAATGAAGTTCTGTAGCATGTTCGTGTACAAGTCTTACATAGCTTTAGTTCAGTTAATTCTAAGTACTTTATTTTTGATGCTATTTAAGGGGAATTGTTTTCTTAATTTCATTCATGGATTGTAAATGGCACGTCTATAGAAATATGGTTGATTTTTGTATGTTGATTTTATATCCTGCAACCTGAGCTGAACTCATTATTAGTTCTGATGGTTTTTTGCGATTTTTTTTTTTTTTAAGGACTTTGTTTATACAGGATCATGTCATCTGCAAATAGATAGTTTAACTTTTTTCTGTCCAATCAGGTCGCCTTTCTTTCTTTTTCTTATGCAGTTGCTCTGACTAGTACAATGCTGAGTAGACGTGAAGAGCAGACCTCTGTGTCTCACTCCTGATATCAGGTGGAAGGCTGTCAGTCTTTCACCACTGAGCGTGAAGTTTGGTTCTCCGTAGTGACCCTTCTTCAGGATGAGTAATTTTCCTGTACTTACTCGTAGTTTGTTGAATGTTTTTTATCATGAAAGCTGTTAGATTTTATCAAGTGCTTTGTCTGCATCTGTTGAGGTTTTTGCTCCTTATCCTATTACTATAGTATATTATGGTGATTAATTTTATTTTTTATTTTTTTATTTTTTTCTGAGATGGAGTGTGTGCATGGTGGGGGAGGGGCAGAGGGAGAGGGAGAGGGGGACAGAATCTCAAGCAGACTCCAAGCTCAGTATGGAACCCTGTGGGGGGCTTAATCTCACAACCTTGAGATCATGACCTGAGCTGAAATCAAGAGTCAGACGCTTAACCGACTGAGCCATCCACGTGCCCCTAATTTTGTTTTATTTTAAACCAGCTTGTCATCCTGGGGTAAATCCCACCTGCTTATGGTATATGATCTTTGCACGTTGTGGATTTGACTTGCTCATGTTTTGTTAGGGACTTCTGTTTCTGTGTTGATAAGGCATATTGGGCTCTAGTTTTCTTTTTCTTGTGATGCCTTTGCCTGGTTTTGATATCAGGTTAACACTCGTCTCACAGAATGAGTTGAGAGGTGTTCTCTTATGTTTCTGTTTTTTGTTATTTTGGGGAAAAGTTTGCAAAGGACTGGTGTTAATTTTTCTTTAAATATTTGGTAGAACTCACCAGTGAAGCCATCTGGTCTTGGGCTTTTTTATCATTGTGGGAAGTTTTTTGATGACTCATCCAATCTCTGCTTGTTATAGGACTGTTTAGGTGGTTTACTTCTTCTTGGGTCAGTTTCATTAGTTTGTGTCTTTCCTGGAATTTGTCCACTTGGCCCAGGCAGCCTGATATGTTGGCACATAGTTATTCGTAGTACTCCCTTAGATTCCTTTTTATTTACATGAGGTTGGTAGGAATGTTTCCTCTTTGTTCCTGATTTTAGTAATTTTAGTCTGTATTTTGGTTGCTGCAGCTTAAGATTTGTCAGAGTTTTGATCTCAGAGAACCAGCTTTTGGTTTCATTGATTTTTTTTTTTTTCTTTCCCTGTTCCTTTTCTATTCTCTATTTCATTTATTTCTGCTGTGATCCTTATTTATCCTTCCTTATCAATTTGTGTTTAGTTTGCTCTTTTTCTAGTTTCTTTAAGAAACTAGAAGTTTTGGTTATTGATGAAAGGATTTTTTTAATGTAGGTATTTACATCTATAAATTTCTTGATAAGAGCTGTATCTCATGTATTTTTATCTTAATCCATCTGAAGTTATATCTAATTTCTCTTATGACTTTTTTCTTTGACCTGTTGGTAATTTAGGAGCTTGTTCAATTTCCCGTATTTGTGTATTTCCTGAATTTCCTTTTGCTATTGAGTTTTAGTTTTGTTCCATTGTGGTCAGAGAACACATTTTATAAAATTCTGTTTTTAATTTTTAAATATATTGAGGCATGTTTTATGGCCAAGCGCCTGGTCTGTCGTGGAGACTGTTCCATGTGTGTTGAGAGTATTGCGGATTCAGGTTTTGGTGCTGTGTAGACGCCCGTTGGGCCTTCTGTTTCTTGTGGTCATCCGTCCACCTGTTCCGCTCATTACTGGAAGTGGACCGTTTTCTGTTTCTCCAGTCAGATCTGTTGTGTTTTGCATTTCTTATTTTCAGGCTCTGTGGTCAGGTACACTTTGATGTTTGTAATTGTTACATCTTGAGGAATTGGCCCTTTCATCATTGTAAAAATCACCAAAGATGCAGTTGTTCTTCGTTTTGTTCCCCAGTTTTCCTGAGGATCTATTTTATGCATGTTTTCACGGAGTTGTCAGTGTGCTCGGGGCACAGGTCGTGTCCGCGCAGGGGGCCTTGAGGGGGTTGGGAGAGGGAGAAGCAGGCTTCTGGCTGAGCAGGAACCAGTGGTAGCCCCACCTGCACTTCAGGGGCGAGGGATCAGCTTTCTCAGTTTGGGTCTCTTTCAGCATAAACTTGATTGTTCTGTTGAAATTATACCTAGTTTTTAAGTTGTTTATTTTTCCGAACATTTATTTGTATTTGAATTACCGTGTGCACGCAAACACAAGTTGGTGCATGAAAATAGTATGATATCGTGCTTGACTTAGATTACCTCCCTCCAGATGCTGATGTTTCATAAACACGATGGATGACTCATTAGCGCCTGCTTACTTAGAAAAATTTTCTGTAGCCGAATTCTGTTTCATTTAAGTATCTTATCTTAGATCACAGGCGATTTTCTGGCAGCAATGGAGTAAAGGGCAAAAGATGAAATCCACTTCATAAGAGCTCAAGTTAGAGTTCTCAGAGGTCAGCAGTGGAGGTAGGCAGGAAAAACGATGGGAGTTAGTGGTAGTAGCTGATGTCTTCTGTCACGCAACAGTGATGCTTCGATTTGTGTGAGAGGGACTCTGCATTTGCTAAACAAAAATGGGATCCTGAAATACAGGCATACTTCAGAGATATTGCAGGCTCAGTTCCAGACCACTGCAGTAAAGCAAACACTGGAGTAAAGAGAGTCAAATGAAATTTTTGGTTTCCCAGCGCACGTAAAAGCTACATTCACACTATAGTGTAATTTAGTAATTTAGCATTTTCTCTTACAAAAACAGTGTACGTACCTTAATTTAAAAATACTTTATTGCTGGGGCGCCTGGGTGGCTCAGTTGGTAACTGTCTGCCTTCGGCTCAGGTCATGATCCCAGGGTCCTGGGATCGAGCCCCGCATCGGGCTTCCTGCTCAGCAGAGAACAGAGCCTGCTTCTCCCTCTCCCAACCCCCATCTTGTGTTCCCTCTCTTGCTGTGTCTCTCTCTGTCAAATAAATAAAATCTTTAAAAAAAATACTTTATTGCTACAAGATGCTAACCCATCGCCAGCTGAGCTTTCAGTGAATGATAATTATTGATCACAGATCATCATAACAAATATAATAATAAAAAAGTTTGAAATATTGTGAGAATTACCAGAATGTGACCAGAGACACGAGGTGAACAATGTTGGAAAACTGGTGCCAACAGACGAAGACACAGGCTTGCCACAGACCTTCAATTTGTAAAGAATGCGTTCTCTGCGAAGCATAGTGCAGTGAGGCGCAGTAACATGAGTTAAACCAGCATCCAGAGGCTTCCAAAAAAATTGTTACTGTTTACAAACGTTAAATATGAACCCACCCCTGAA